TTCGTTAAACTAGACATACCCAATTCCAGCAACCGTTCCTTATATGTTTTAGCCTCCAGTCCCCTAATCATCTTTGTTGCTCTTCTCTGTACTCTTTCCAGAGTCTCAGCATCTTTTTTACATCGTGGTGACCAAAACTGGATGCAGTATTCCAAGTGTGGCCTTACTAAGGCATTGTAAAGTGGTATTAATACTTCACATGATCTTGATTCTATCCCTCTGTTAATGCAGCCCAGCACTGTGTTTTGTGTGATGTTTTGTGTGTTGGATGAGAAGTGAAATGTTTTCAAGGAAAAGCAAAGAAAGTCCAGTTGCCTTTTTTTAAAAAGCACCTTTGGGACAACCATGACCTGGGTGACTGATAATCTCCATAGACAGTCTGAAATGTGTTCAGAAATCAAGGAGTTTTTAATTGTGTTTTCTGACTGCTAGTTGTGCTCAGCTAATCTTCTGTCTTGTCTGTCCTGCATAGTAGCTATTACACTTTATTATATTCAAGGACAAAAGATAATAGCAAACAAAGAATGAAAGCCAAAACAGAATCTCTGAAAGAAACTTGTCTGAATGGGTTTTCTCCTGTTAGAGGAGTATGCAGAAAAATAGTCCAAACTCAGTCCAGAATTCCAAAAGCCAAGGAGGATTGTCGGTCATTCAAAAAGTTGAAATTTCGCAAGCAGAATCCACACACCAATATCATACAACAATTGGAGGCCAGAGGATTACTTTCAAAAGGAATCATAGATCAGGACTACCTCTTAAATCAGACTGCAGAAGACAGCTATCTATGTTCGATTTATTCCCCTGCTTACACTGTGCCTATTATTTCCTGTTGCAAGTAATTTGAATTATGTTTGGACACACTTTTCCTTTGCCTTTTTTGAAAAAAAAACCATGACTGTAAGATTCTGCCTCTGCTAGTACTCTCAAGCAGAGCTCTTGAAATTGGCATTGTTTTAACAAGAACTTTTATAGAGAGACAGTGAAAGCAGAAAGGCAAAGCAAGATCTAAAGAATTCCCACCCAAAATGTTACATTAAAACTTCCCTTCGCAAACCCCTCCCCAGTGCCCAACTGTCCAGTTTGTTTCCAGCCAATCTACAGGTGTGAAGTTGTTATGGGAACCTGAACAATAAGGGATGGTTCGCATGTATAGCATCTTCTTCACAACGGAGTGGAGATAAGGCAGATGGCTTCTGGCACATTCCTTCCCCTTTTCACACTCAAAGAGATAATAATAATAATAATAATAATAGTAATAGTAGTAGTAGTAGTAGTAGTAGTAGTAGTAAAGTTGGAAGGGACCTTGGAGGTCATCTAGTCCAACCCCCTGCTCAGGCAGGAAACCCTATACCATTTCAGACAAATGGCTGTCCAGTCTCTTCTTAAAAACTTCCAGTGTTGGAGCATTCACTGCTTCTGGAGGAAGGTTGTTCCACTGGTTAATTGTTCTAACTGTCAGGAAGTTTCTCCTTAGTTCTAAGTTGCTTCTCTCCTTGCTTAGTTTCCACCCATTGCTTCTTGTCCTGCCTTCAGGCGCCTTGGAAAATAGCTTGACTCCCTCTTCTTTGTGGCACCCCCTGAGATATTGGAACACTGCTATCATGTCCCCCCTCGTCCTTCTCTTCGTTAAACTAGACATACCCAATTCCAGCAACCGTTCCTTATATGTTTTAGCCTCCAGATCTTGATTCTATCCCTCTGTTAATGCAGCTTAGCACTGTGTTGGCCTTTTTGGCAGCTGCAGCCCACTGCTGGCTCATATTTAGGTGTCCCTCCGAGGTCCCTCTCACAGTTACTACTATTGAGCAAGGTACCCCCTATACTATATCTGTGTATTTGGTTTTTCTTCCTTAAATGTAGAACCTTGCTTTTTTCACCATTGAATTTCATTTTGTTAGATAGCGCCCAGTGTTCAAGTCTGTCCAGATCCTTCTGTATCTTAAGCCTGTCTTCTGGAGTGTTGGCTATTCCTGCCAGCTTGGTGTCGTCTGCAAATTTGATGAGTTCCCCATCTATCCCCTCATCCAAATCCAAGGTCCCTTCCAACTTTATTATTATTATTATTATTATTATTATTATTATTATTATTATTATTATTATTATTATTATTATTATTATTATTATTACTACTACTACTACTACTATTATTATTACATAAGCATATATGAGTTAAATGACCTACAGGGAAAAAAATGATGGGAAAATCCTAACACAGCACAGAGAGGAGAAAATTATTGCTTTCTCT